CATTTTTCATACCTTTTAAAAATTAACGGAGGCAAAACTTCTTTTCTGTGAGAGTGACTGAGCACTGGAACAGGTTGCCCAGAGAGGCTGTGCAGTCTTCTTCCCTGGAAATACTCAAAAGCCGTCTGGGCACAATGCTGGGCAATGTGCTCTAGGTGACCCTGCTTGAGCAGGGGGGTTGGACTAGATCTCCAGACGTCCCTTCCAGCTTCAGCCATTCTTCATTCTGTGATCTCTTCATGGAAATCTTTAAGCCTAACTTTAAAAGTCTAGTTTTGTGTTATCTCGGAGCATGAGTCAAAGTAAAGTAAAGAGCTGCTGTACTCAGAATGTTGGTAAAAAATTTTATTACTCAGAGAAACTGGAGTTCCCATATATATCTACAGTTTTGGTAATGGTTGTGTAGAAAATATTTTGTAGTGCTACTGGTTATCCTAAAAACACAGACAACTTTCCCTAAAAGTCTACTCTTTTCATAGTTTTGAAGTTGTCTCTTTAAAGGCTTTGCCATGCCACTGGCTGATCAACTTACCTGTCTGGGAACTGATCCCAAAGACTGCAAACACAACACTACATAAATAAATCGATCAATATTTCAAAATGTTTCAGAGCAGTGAAGGGAATGGAGTTCAATTTATGATACACAACATAACTTCCCATACTTGTATTCCCCAATCAGTATTAGAAAAACTGTGCTTCAGCTTCAAATGGCAACGCCTTCCTTGCGATTGGTAGGCAGTCTGCTTAGCACTCACAGACGAACTGCAGAGTTTGCATCATGGGTCATTCTGGGCATTTTTTGCAGTAATTCAGCAATGGTCCAAGTAGAAATATTAAGTTTATGGAGAAAACTATTCAATGCTGCAAATCAACAGTGAAGAACACTCTTCTCCACTACAGCTGTGAGGTAGATCACGACTTCTTCCTTCTCCCTGCTTCAGTTTCTACCTACTGCATCTTCAGTGCTTTTAGTAAAATGAGTCACTACTCTATTCCCTGGATAAAAGACACCATCAGCATTGTTAATGTCATTGACAGAGCTGAACAGATAGGACATACAGAAACACTGTGATAAGGCATGAACTCAGCTCACTGGGATTCATAGGGTTTTGTTTTTTTTTAAACTAAGATAGCCATTCTGTCCATCTAAAATATTCTAAAACCTCTAAAAATTTACATAGCTGAAAATTGTTAGTCCTAAAAACTCTGTTCAAAAATATTTATGTTAATACTACTAGTTCTCTGGATTATGTATGAATCATTATACTTCTGACCTCTCTTGTTTAAATGTTTTAGTCATTCACTTCAGGGAGCAAAAATATTTTCAAGTGCCTTTGGTCACCGACTGCACAAGAAGAGGCCTGTTTGGTAAATTATTTTTCCAGATGTTTTGATGAATGCATACCAGCAGGGCATAATATTTCCCTGTGGAAAAGTTCTGTTTAATGAAAGTGATGAAGCAAATATTGTGGTCAAGAGGTAAAACAGGATTTTGTAGAATGTCAGAGAAAATAACAATCTTTTGCATGCTTTATATACAAAGTGTACATGCATTATATATAGCAGAAGCAGAAGAGAAATAGGGTGTTTCAAACACACATTATGTTACCATTTAAAGACCTTTTACACAAAGGAAAACAGGACTGATTCACAAAGCAGAGAAAATTCATGCCTACTATTACTCGCTGGAAATAACTTGACCAGTTCTGTCTCACGGCTGCCTCAGGTACTCCATGAGCTGAAGACGTGTCAAAGTGAATAACCTGTTCAAAGCTAGAACTTCACAGCCCGAGGTAACATAAACACAATTGTGAGAAAGCTGCAGAGATCTGCACAACCAATACCCTATTAGTTCTGGCCTCCATTCACCTGCATTATCCATATGGTATCTCTCCTTAGCACTGCATTCAAAAGGAATAAATGCCTTTTTTCCTCCAGTCTGAGAGTTGGAATAATAATAATGTTTGGACATAGAAATATCTTTCTCTCTTACACTTTTCTTATTCAGCATCACATGTTGTTCTATAAGAAGGAAGTTTATTAGAAGAGCAGCTCATTTTAGAAAAATAAAGGTGACTTATGCACTTTTAGCTATTGTGATAATTTCACAGGAAAGCTTATCCAAAGCCTGAGCCTGCAATTTTATACATAAAGAAACTGTTCAAACACATGGCCACTGACTTCACAAACAGCACTTCATCTTTGAAATTCTAATCATAAATGGAATAAGCTGATAAATGACTAAAATAATCCTTTTGAAAAACAACAGAAACAAAAATGCCTCAGATATATAACGTCTAAGAAATACTAACAATCTTGCAAAGCACATATCAAGTGAAATATCACACATTTTAGAATGAGGTACTACATTAATATTGTTCCTCATATACAATTTGTAAAGTTATACAGCTGCACTTTAGGCAAAAGAGGGAGTAATCATTAGAGATGAATCTGAAGCAAGCAATTAAGTTATTAAGGTATTAAATAGTAACATTAATATTTAAAGAAGGAGAGAGAAATAACAAAATCCTTTGCAAAGCCATGGGATGTCATAGCATCAAATCATAACAAAATTGGGTCAGGTAAATGGAAAAAGAAAGGAAATAAGAGAGTAATCCATCTCAAGAGGAAACAAGTCCTCTTAGGCATCTACACTGTGGAGCTCTAGTAGCCACCTGCTACAGCTGAAGCAGAAAAGGTGACCTTTGTAAAGTTTCTTATTAATGGGGTAAGCCAGAGAGGCTAGTTACCCTTCCTTATAAGCAAGCTAAGCATAGATAAAGAAAATCTTCATTCTTGAGTATAACTATGTCATATCCTGGTTTTTTTAATTTATTTTTGTAACTTTGCTCCACTACTGGAGCAAAATATATGCTTTACATGAACTTATTTTTTAGCATTAAATCTGTCCCAGTGGTAAAGCTAACTCTTTGTAAGCAGAAACCAAAGCATTCTCAACATACAACAAGCCTTAGAACTAGGGTGCTGATGAACAGTACCCGGCACCCTATTTACCAGACCATAACAGGGGGTTCCTCTAGGACCTGCCACAGGAATTGATTTAGCAATGGTAGTATAGGAACAGGTGAGTTCCAGGGAGCAAGGCTTACACAGAAAGCTTCTTGACAGTCAGTAAATAGTAGGATAAGCATTCAACCCTTCTTTTACTAGAAACTAGCAGATACTAATAATTAACCATTAGCAATAATTAATATTAACTAGTTAAAATTAATGGAATAATTTGATTTGGAAAAACAATCTCCTGCTACTTCACAGTGTTTTAGAAGAGTCTATCAGTATAACAGCTTTGCCTGCAAGTGATTTGAAATGTCTTAATTGAAACTAAGCATCGTCTCAACTTTTGTATTATACTATTTCAGTAAAGGTTCAGTGTTTCTAAATGCAGCTTCAGGAAGCAATTTTGTTTCACAAAAGGAGTTTTTGATAATAATTTGACCTCATTCAAGATAAAATTGAATTCAAAAAATTCATCATTTCTGGACTGTAGGAAATTATTATCTAGTGTCTATTCAACACTTGGCTTGCTTGGTCTGCCATTTCTGTTGGACAAACCCTATTGTTCAAACTGATTTCTTAATATCAGTCATGCTATAATATTTCTCTCAATAAAAAGCCTTTGCATTTGCAATATTGCAATAGAAATATTCATAATTTCTTTTTCTTTAAAATTAGGAATCTCAGATGGCTGCTACAAAAGAAAGTCTAATGAGCTTTAGATAGGAAAAATTTGTTCAAAGAAGAAATATTTAAAATTAATTTCTTAGATTTATAAATAAAAACATAAAAGTCTTTAAACTGAGGCAGTCAAGGAGGAGATAAAACCATTTCATGGTAATCTGATTTCTGAAACTGCAGCTCGTGCCTAAGTTAGATCTCAACTATTAAACTCTATTTCATTCTACTCAGAGCCCTTTTGAAAGTTTTTCTGAAATCTCTTTCAGTCACCAGCTGAGTAAGAAAAGTATTTCTGCATTCATGTCGTTGTGGCAATGAGCGCCGTGCAATCTTTCTTTTCTAAAGTATTAAACATTTTAAACGGTCTCTAAGCAAGCAAGGAGGTATATTGCACTGCTCTTTTTATTACAAAAAAAAAAAAAGAACATCTCATTCAATTGTGGCGTTAAAAAAGTCGCAGCCTCCAGATTCTGAAATCACACTTCATTCTTCACACATGAAAACCGTTTCTCTCTGAAGACAGTCTTTTGTGACATGAAGGCACAGAAAGCCTCCTGGCTGTTTTATTATCTTATGGAGCTGTGCATGCTTTCGCAGAGCCTGCTGCAGCAGCAGCGCCATAAATAAACAAGGAGCCGCGCTGAAAAGAATTAGGCCTTTCACCAGCCCTCCGCAGAGAAATGCCTCTCCGGGTTGCCTGCAGCTGGCAAAAATAGATGATGATGAATAGTGGGAGCCGGGCAGGCATGGACAGCCCCTCAGCTGAATTCTGCCTCAGAAACACTTTTAATTTATCCAGTCCCTTCAGTGATCATCCTGCGGATATCAGACTTACCGGGGGGGGGAAGACTTTTCCTCAGGGTCCTCCGCTCCTCATCTGCCCTCTGCCCCCAGACGCACGCGTCCACCGCTGATGGCAAGCACAGCCCGGTCCCGACAAAAGGGCTTGAGAGTTAGGAAGAGAGACAAATCTGGGTAACGGTAAGTTTACAGATACATCCGTAATAGCATCAGGAGCTGGTGTGGTGACCTTTTAGCTGCATCAGAGCTTCTGGAGGGCTCACAAAGGTGGATTGCACACTGTTTGCGTGAGGATTTTTCCTGCCCTTTTACTGTTTAACACCAAGTACCTGGTGCTTGCTTGACAGCAGCTGGATTTCTGCCTGGTCAGGCAGCAAGACCCATGCTTGTTTAGACCGCGAAAGCTCCGACATGCAGCCATGCCCAGCGACTGTTTCGCCAAGGCGTTGATGAGAAGGGCCTTTTTAAGCACCCACGCCTGCGCCCGTGGAGGTGACACTTACATTGCTTGGTGCACCCCGAAAACGGATGAGCATCGAGCTATGCCAGGGCTCAGGCAAGAACGAACGAACAGGATTCAGACTTGCTGGAGCTGCACGCAGAGAGAGCCTGCGCTGGCAGCGAGCCCGCACTCTAAAATTCATCGTGTCAGAGTCCGCTGCTGACCGAAATCCTGGGGTTACATAGTACAGCATAAACTCTAGTAATCTTCAACAGCCAGGCAGACTGATAAAGTTTTTTTTTCCACGAGCTCCACTAATACAGGCATGTGTGAGCATGTTACATCGCCCTAGAGCAGTCTGTTGATGTTAACTCTGTCTACACAGGGGCACAGTTGGTGACCCTGAAGTTATTAATAACAGTTCCTGCAGCATCTCTCTTACACAAAAGTGTGGTGAATACCAGAGTCATGTCAGATTCTTTTTACGAATTCTTTTTAGTCATTTTCTGCACACAGACAAAACATTTGGTTGATATTCCATATAAACGTTCATGAATGTAAGTACCTTCCCTTGCTAGAGAGTTGGTATTCTTTGCAGACCTCGCGGATACAAGAAACTATGACTGTGACATAATCTTTCTGGGAGGGCTGCTGTACCTCCAGGGTTCCAGTCCTATTTTTAACTCCATTTCTCTGAGACAAAGGTATGTTTGCCGAGCTCCTTTGAATGGTGAGAGCTGAATGAGAAAGTCATTCCAAAGGAGGAATAGATTCATCCCAGCAAGGAAACTATCGCCAACCAGATATGCCTCCCAGAAAACTGATCAATGAATGAGTGTTCACAGCAAAGTTGTTTCTCTATGTTCTCAATTTTTCATTTCCACTCAATAGCCGATTTTCAAAATCTTGTCTTGCACATCAGCCCTTTATTTCAAGTTAGCTCTACACGTCTTTCAACATGTTAGCTCTTTCTTCGGCTGCCACTGTTGAAAGTTAACATCTGGTCATTGATGGTCGACAGGTGGTACTGTTCTGGCAACACCATTCAGGTCTCACCGTTCCTAATATGAATTACGCAGGAATTCATTCAAACCAATATGCCCACATGACCGTTGAGAACTGCTCTTTTCAAAAGATAAGTTTACTTTATTAAACCCCACTGGTAACGATGAAGTTATGAAAAAAAAAAAAAAAAGCGGCCCCCTGTTTTCCTTCAAAGCAGTAAGAATATTCCCACATTCAAAAAAAAGTAGACTTCCTAGTTTTCTTGAAACTAATTAATATTCAGATATCCTACCAAAAATGAAAGTCATCCTAATGAACACAGTATAAACACATAAAAATTATATCATATGATAAGAATAGAGCAATTATAAGGCTGAGAGGTAATTTGAAGACTAAATAGCCAAAACACTATTTTGCTGAGCAGCTGAAGATTGGAAGAGAAATAAAGGAAACATTAAGAAGTGAACATGCTTTACACGTAAACTAAATAGTATCTTGCCAAATATTTAAGTTTAGTCAGCTAAGACAATAGTTCAGTACATAAAGCAAAAGTATATATCAAAAAAGTGCTGCTGAAAAGAAAGTTAAAAGGTAACAAGGGGGCTGTTTGACAATTTTTAAATACATGTATGTTTGCTAGATCAACCTCTGCATATTTTATCCTGTCATCAATCAGAAAAGGTAATCTGAGGTAACTGAAAAAAAGATAGCTAAACCCAAAATTCAATATAATGAAGGAGGAAAGATAATAAAAAGCACTTTTTTCTTTTTTGAGCTATTTGATCAAATTCCCATAGATCTGTAAAAAGAGTCATACATCTAGCTTGATGGACCCTCTGACAGAACTGAGGCTAAAATACTTGGGTCTCTTTGAAAATCTTTGATTTTCACTGCATTCAAAATTGGTTTTCTGTCAGGCACTTTGCCCTCCGAGGTGCAAAAAATGATAAGTTCCTATTAAAATGTTATTCTTTTTGTTATATTTAAGGCAAGTGCAACGTTTTGATGAATTTTCTTGCCTGTTAAACATCTTTCCATTACACTGCAACTCGTTCTTTAACTTAAAGATCTGACTAAAGAAAAGTGTTGCTTTGACCTCGCCCAGGTTTTGCTGAGAATAAAATTGAGCTTGGTTTCTAAGGTCTTCTTTCAACTTGATCTCACTGCTGAAGAAAGGCTACAGTTAAATTAGGAACTTCAACAAGTTTCATAAGCTTATATAAATCCCTATTTTATGAACTTCTTTCTTTGTGAAGTCTTAGTTTTCAAATTATACAGGATGTGCTATTTAAAGTTATTCTTCCACTCTTTGCCAAGGTGTGTTATAGATTGCTAGGTAGCAAATTCGTCAATTTTCCATGCTTATTGCTCCAGAAAAACCTGTTAATACTAGGATACTTTGGTGTTGTGACAATGAATGAATTATGTTTAGTTTATGCTCCATTTATTGTTCCAGATAAAATGGCTATAGTTTAAAAAAGTACAAAAATATTTTGGTCATATGGGATCAGAGTTTGTGTGATATCTAACTTCTCCAATGAAGAAATTCTTCCTCTTCCCTGCTCTCCAGAGTAATCACTAAGTGATTATGTCTCCCCAGTTAATGAATGCATAATATCATAAACTTTAGTTTTAGACATAGGCGTCATTTGTGGAATGGTAGCAAGTGGCAAGAATGCAAGTGAAGGGGAGAAGGTACATTTTAGAAATAGGTGAGACCTTTTTGGCAATCTGGAAGTGTGACTGATGTCTATTTGTCTGAGCTGCAGTTGATCCTCTGACGTTCTGTGTGACAGATGTTATTTTGATTTATTATCATCTGTTAAATTTCACTGGCTCTCAAACTGTTACCTGAGATCAAGGGACGCCTTTCTGAAACACATTTGGTCAGTGGTTCACATGTAAACACTTCCTATTCATCAGGAAGCTTTCTGTCCCTATAAGTAAAAATCTAACATCTTTGTTGGTAGTATCCACTGGGACAGGATCCAAAAGATTTGAATATTGAACAGTTTCTACACTTTGAAAAATTAATTCTTTGAGATGAAACCTGTGCTATATAAGATATACGACAAAGGATGTGATCCCAGCTTTCCAATAACTTCACCAGCATCTGCTATTTTCAGCTGGATATCATGCAGAAATAATTTAAATGATGAGATTTTCTTTCTTAATTTTCAGAAGCATTTCTTCTAAAACCTTGTCCCAGATTATTACTCATCTTCAATTCTGGATGAGGCAGTGATAAATAAACAGCCATAGAACTGTTTATCATTATATTACTGGGCTACCAATTTAAATCTGTCACAGTTATTGTCCTGTTGAATAAGGCCTCTGGCCCATGTCACTGCATTGGTAGGTAAAGGGCACTCTTGAGTAGAATGATGGTGAAGCATGATGCAGAGCAGTGCCTGGAACAAATAACTTGTGGATTTTATTTAATTTCTCCATGCTTTAACTTCTGGATGCAGGGAAGCAAGAATGAAACCGCCCCAGAGGGAGCTGTTGGGGCTAAGAGCTGAGAAGAGATCAGGGAGCAGCCCCCTACGAGAGGAGGAGGGAAAAGGATAGAGCAGAATCGAGATTAATTCCTGAAAGGTTAGGAAACCTGTTATCTCTGGCTCAGAGAGATAGCCGAAATCCTGAAATAATAAGGTCTTTGGACAAAGACCTTGCATGTTTGTACAGCAGCTTGTCCATGGGACTACTACAACATAAATATTGTTAAAATATTTTACAGTTTACAGGAAAAGTTAGAATTAGAGATTGGTTTACAGCCGGAAGCATGAGTCTGTGTGACTTCTACACAAATTTTTTCTCTTACTGCTCTTCTGTGACTATAATTGTCTATGGCAAAGTCAAATTCCAATGTAAGAGGGGTTTTTTTCTTTGCCTATAGAATCTGTTCCACACTCTCCAATGGGAACCATGAAGCGAAAAATTAATTAATATTTTTTCCTTTTTTATTGGTTCTGTCCTGTATGAATATATAATACTGGCCAGCTATTAAATATTTTTTGTCTCCTTCTTGGCTTCTTATACCTCACATAACTGAAAACCGTCTTACTGTTTTACTAATCTCATGTGAACTCTTAGCCTCAGTCTTCACCTTTGCCTTTCTGTTCCATTGTCTAATTTCGACAGTCCTCTTCTTTCCTGATGTTCAAAACTTTTCCAAGTTTCATACTGACCTTTGATCATTCATGTTTTTCCTATGATGCATTAATATTGATCTTTTTAATTCTTATCTCTTTATTACGGAGTACATGTTCTATCTCTCAAGCACATACTTATTTAGCATTAAGGCCAAACATTTTCTCTGTGTTGTTTTTCCTCTGTCACTGCCTCTGACTCCTTGTATCTTGATGAATAATTCTTCTTTTGAGATTTACTATTTTTATTTTCCTTTCTATGTGACTATTGTAAGTGTTAAGGTCAGATTTAACTAGATTAGAGTCTCTCGCACTTACATCACGTGAGTATTTGTTCTTTTGATATTACCAAAGATGACTTTTATTTTAATTAATATTAAACTAAGAACTGCTCGTTTCTTAGGTTTGCAATATTTCTGGTGAAATGTGTCTGTACTTTATTATATTTATTACATTCACAGAAAGATTTTGACTTGACCTTTATGCTTAAGAGATCACAGTTTTTCCCTAATGGCTTTATCTCATTACTAGAATTTCATTGCTACAATAGAAAGCTGTAGCTTAGCGGCTAATTTTATGACAACACCATCTCAAGTTAACTTTTCTGTGTGTGCCGTGAGCTCATTCTTCCTTAAATCTAAGCTATAAACTAATAAGACACTACTGGGAGAAGCAATGATGGTGTTTCCTGCAGCGGCCCAAAGACTCAGGGTAGTGTCAAGATTCAGCCTGCTTTATTCAACCGCACGATGTCGTATACCTACGCTAAAGTAGTGGCCACAGCAGGATGGTGCCTGCTTCAAAGACCCTTCTCCTGTCAGTGAAGGACGGCTCTCACAGTATGTTACAGTATTGCTCCATAAAAATTCCATTAACTGGTCCTAAGAGAGCTTAGGAAAGCTCTGGTATACAAAGTACAGTCTGATTATTCTTAAAGTACCTTGTACATAACAGCTACTTGCAACACGCAAAAGCAGCTCTGCAATTTTGAGCAAAATGAATTGGCACCATCCCTCATGAATAAACATATAGGCATCTCTCCTCTCTCCAGACGAGCTGGAATTCCAGGTTAGA